ATATACTAAAATGTTTGCTGAAATGTGAGGGGTGTACTCACTTTTGTGAGATACTGTATATACACTCACCTAAAGGATTATTAGGAACACCTGTTCAATTTCTCATTAATGCAATTATCTAATCAACCAATCACATGGCAGTTGCTTCAATGCATTTAGGGGTGTGGTCCTGGTCAAGACAATCTCCTGAACTCCAAACTGAATGTCAGAATGGGAAAGAAAGGTGATTTAAGCAATTTTGAGCGTGGCATGGTTGTTGGTGCCAGACGGGCCGGTCTGAGTATTTCACAATCTGCTCAGTTACTGGGATTTTCACGCACAACCATTTCTAGGGGTTACAAAGAATGGTGTGAAAAGGGAAAAACATCCAGTATGCGGCAGTCCTGTGGAAGAAAATGCCTTGTTAATGCTAGAGGTCAGAGGAGAATGGGCCGACTGATTCAAGCTGATAGAAGAGCAACTTTGACTGAAATAACCACTCGTTACAACCGAGGTATGCAGAAAAGCATTTGTGAACCCACAACACGCACAACCTTGAGGCGGATGGGCTAAAACAGCAGAAGACCCCACCGGGTACCACTCATCTCCACTACAAATAGGAAAAAGAGGCTACAATTTGCAAGAGCTCACCAAAATTGGACAGTTGAAGACTGGAAAAATGTTGCCTGGTCTGATGAGTCTCGATTTCTGTTGAGACATTCAGATGGTAGAGTCAGAATTTGGCGTAAACAGAATGAGAACATGGATCCATCATGCCTTGTTACCATTGTGCAGGCTGGTGGTGGTGGTGTAATGGTGTGGGGGATGTTGTCTTGGCACACTTTAGGCCCCTTAGTGCCAATTGGGCATCGTTTAAATGCCACGGCCTACCTGAGCATTGTTTCTGACCATGTCCATCCCTTTATGGCCACCATGTACCCATCCTCTGATGGCTACTTCCAGCAGGATAATGCACCATGTCCCAAAGCTCGAATCATTCAAATTGGTTTCTTGAACATGACAATGAGTTCACTGTACTAAAATGGCCCCCACAGTCACCAGATCTCAACCCAATAGAGCATCTTTGGGATGTGGTGGAACGGGAGCTTTGTGCCCTGGATGTGCATCCCACAAATCTCCATCAACTGCAAGATGCTATCCTATCAATATGGGCCAACATTTCTAAAGAATGCTTTCAGCACCTTGTTGAATCAATGCCACATAGAATTAAGGCAGTTCTGAAGGCGAAAGGGGGTCAAACACTTAGTATGGTGTTTCTAATAATCCTATAGGTGAGTGTATATATATATATTTTTTACAAAATTCACAGTTCGGTTCGATACGACACAATGGTATCACGGTTTGGTATGTTTACGATACAGCAAAAAGAAAGAAATGCCAGAGAAATTTCCTTGATTTTAATTTTAATTTATTTATTAAAACTAACATCATAAAGTAATGATCTTGTTTTACTTTGAACAATGATGGAGCTATACTTGACCCATCTTCTGGGGTGTCTTCTTAGCAGCATGTACAACAAAAAAACAGCTCCTTATAAAAAAACTAAATGTAATATTGTATTAGTTATAAACAAATACAAAGAAAATAACAATTTTGTTTTTATATGGAACTCAGTGTGCTTTTACTCAATTTTGTTTTGTTTTTTTTTCTTCCAGAAAGATGAGAGTGTCCACTAAATGCTGTGGGGATAGTTTGTAGCGTGTGTGTTTCTAATTTTTTCGTCTAGTTCAATGTTCAAATAATCTTTTGGTCATCATTAAAAATAACATTTAAATATGATCATATTTGAGGTTTGAAGTGCTGGAAAAAGATGTTTGACGTACTTGAAAGCATTTTACTATTCCTGCCAAATAGGGGTGCACGATTCAGAAAATGTCACGATTCGATTCGATACCGATTTTTTGTCTCAAGATTCGATTCAAAATCGATTTTCGATTCAAAAACGATTCTCGATTCAAAAAAACGATTCACAGTATATAAATGTAGTTTACTTTTTCCTATGTGATTGATTGCAGTAGACACAATTTAAAAGAAAAAAAACACAACAAATTAAATGTAGTTTGATATTACTTTATGTCTTCATACAAAAATAAAAACTTTTGCAACTAAAAAGTGCAAAGTGCCAAGCTTTGGCCAGCTTTCAAATACATTTAATTCAAGTTTAAAATAAAACTTAAATAAAAAGCTTTTACATTTAGCTTTAAAGTGCTGTAGTCAGATCAAACAAACAATTATGCTAAATGTGGTTTAAGGACTACTTCAGCTACCAGGCTGACTGTTGAAATGTGAACTCGACTGGGCACATTGAACTTCCTAAAAATATACTAATGTCATAGAACCCTTGCGAAATAATTTTAAATAGATTTTAAAAAGCCACCGCTTTTACATCTATGGTTAGATTGATTTGTTTAGATCCAGTGAAGTCGTTCATAGGCGTAATTTGCGGGTATCTCCAGTTAACTAGCAGAGCATTTATTTAGTTCGCTATTAAGAGATCTGTTGTTTTTGAAATCAAGCTGAGCGCGCTCGTGTCCGCTGCTATCAGTGTCATGGATACAGTGTTCTCTGTGGCTCGCGCAGTCTTCACTCGGACGCGCTCTTCAATCTATCGCCGTTTTGGAGACTCCGGTAAAATCTCAAAAATAAAATGCACACAAACGTGATGAACATATTCGGTTTTGATGAGAGAGAGAAAAAACTATACGAGTGCGGTTTAGAACCCGTAACCTCTGACAGACACGCTTGGCAAAAGATCTACAGACCATTAAGAACTCAAACATATTCTGCGGATCGATGCATTTATTCACGGGTTGAGCAGAGAGGCTGCACAGTTTGACCAGCGGGCGGCAAGAACTTGCAATGTATAACTATTTATCAGACCGGCCATCGCAGCCTCGAAACACTACCGAACCACCGGTAAAAGTCCCGACTCACTCGATTGCCACTCCGCCCGTGCACGCCATAAAAAAAAAATATGAATCGATTTTTGGAATTCTATGAATCGATTCTGAATCGGTAAAGATTGAATCGCGATTCAAATGTGAATCGATTTTTTTGCACACCCCTACTGCCAAACTTCCATGGTTACAGTTACTACATCAAATCCATGGTGAATGTTGCTGATTTGTTGACTTAAAGCCTAATAGCCTATAACTAGTTAATTCGTGGCACAATCTCCTGGTTTCTACGTCAGCGCTGTTTGATCTAATAGAGATATACGGTTAATAATGGAGAAATTTGAATGCTTCTCACTAGATTTCGCAGCGATGTTATTATTTGTGTGGCGAACCGAAAGCCTCATACCGAACAGTATCGCTACACCCCTATATAATATATATATATATATATATATATATATATATATATATATATATATATATGCACACACACACACACAATATTAATATTATACAATACAATATTAAAATATATTAAATTGTTAAAATCCATCAAATTATTATTAGTATTAATAACAATAACAGCAACAATAATTGTAATATATTTGCTTCAATTTAAAAATATAATATAATAACAATGTTGTCTGAACTAAAAACACCAAGAGGTTTGAATCATCTGATTGACTATGACTCATTAAATTGGGAAAACTGGAATCTAGTGTCTTGCTCTGGAAGAATGTAATATGAAGCATAAACTAATAACCATGAAGTTTGGTATTTTCCTATTCTGTCTACAAAAGCTGATGATAAAAAAAAAGAAGAAAAAAAAGCCAAAGCACCATTAAAGGTTCTCCCATTGCTAGCGATGAAATTCTGTGAATGCATCAAGTTGTTTTTCCACCAAGGAGTGGGTGGACAGGATGTAGCACTGACGCTAGCATCAACCACAAACTTATTCTTTCTAAAACCGAGACCCTTATTTCGACGGTTTCAAACACATTGACCTTTGCACACATAATTCTCGTCTCTCTTTTTTCCCTGTGCCATATTTCTTCAACAAATCGCTACTGTGTACTATAAATACAGAGAGAGGACTTCCCAGTCTCTGTAAACAAAACACCCCTCCATTCACGTGACCTCTGATGGCACTGGATCACATGAAATGATCAGGCATAGCAACAATTCCTGTTTGATATGACACGTCATTAGAGAAGTATTTGTGGCGAATTGCATACATTCTTTGAGCCGTTTGTCAGACATTTCGATAGTAGCAAGTAGCAAAAATAGTTATTTTTCAGAATGTTTAAAGATTTTTTGTACATACAATGAAAAAAAGAATGAAAGAAAGTCAAACAGTTTTGAAAACTAAATGACAACCTGATTTTCATTTTGGGTGAACTATCCCTTTAAAACTGACATTTAACTATGCAATCCTGGGCAACAAAGCAGATTTCTAGGAGAAGTCATTATGGAGTGCCAAGGGCTTCACCACGTCGACTAAAGTTACAGACCAAGCCAGGTGATAAAGTTCCTATCATATGTCATGTCAAGTTCAGGGATGTTTTCGATTGCGTCTTATCGGGTCATGTAGATGTGAATGGACACGTTGTGACATTCTGTATCAAGCTTACGAATACAATACAGTTCTTTATCGTCAAATAAGTCAGAAAGCCACAGCGTCAACTTGCAAAAGGTCTTCCCCTGTGGAAATGGCAGACATAATACAATGGCAACACGCTTTCCTTAAAGTCAACACCAAATGTCATTAGCAACTCCGTTTACTTTCATAAAGTAAAGTGTGCATGTCAGATGCAGATGTCAGGGTGAAACAAAATACAAATGTAGGTTGGGATGATATGAGGGATTGATTAGATAGTAAAATAAATTGGCATTAAACACCAAAAGTCATTTTATTCGATGGAAGATTACGAAGACAGATTTTTTTTTTGTGGAATAATGTGAACAATAATACCAGGAGCACATGTTAAGAAAGTCAAGTTTGGGTTTTATGTTCACTTTTAGGTTTCCCTCCAGGTTTGGAAAACACTCCAAGTCAAACATCCTTATCAGGTATCATGATTAGACAGAAGTCTGGGTACTTACTGGTTTTCAGATTGCACAGGACAGGGCAAGCTGTAGGTCTGAGGGGAGAAGCTCCAAGGGTGGTTAGCAAACATGTGGCTCTGAAATAGAGGAAGTGAAAGGTTTAGAGGCGAAAGTTTAGTTGTTAGGTAGGAATGCACCAGTATTAGTTCTGGACTTTACGATAAGCTAAAAAAAAGTAGATAAAACTATGATGTTATGGCTGATAACAAATAAATGGCTGATATGAAAATGTTATACTAATGTTATACTAAAATTCTAATAAAACAAACAAAAATTATGGCACATGCATTTTTACCTGTAAATACTAAAGCTATTTTTAAAGGACATTTACTGGAAAACCACACATAAAATTAAAACTAACAATCTCCAAGTGAAAACTAAACTAAGAAGGAACACACTGAAAATAAAACAGAAACTAAAATGCAAACTAAAAAAATCATAACCATTAAACCATTGAGAAGAGCCAAATGTAATTCTGTTTAAATCCAAAATGTGAGTCCACAGGAAACACCCTTCATTTGCAAAAAAAATTTATTTACACTCGTGATGACATCCCTGCACTCCAACACTGCCCAAATATTTACCTTACAGTTCCTTTTTCCACTTTAAAACCATCTTTTTCTTCGATTTTTAATGAGTATTGTCACAATACAAGACTCATGATAACAGAATTCGAATGAAACCGCAAGAAAAAGCGTCACTTAATCAGAAATTGTGTCTACCAACTGTTAAAATAACTCTGCGACCACAAAGACGTCATTCTGAGTGTCACCCACATACACCAAATTCTTGAGGTTTTGCCAGATATCAGAATGAATAACCTGAGTTTTTGAAAAAGGAAACTAGTGATGAACATTATGATTATGAGTATTTGCTAGGTACAGTAGCTTAGCGTTTTGTCTTGCCACAAAAAATGTGCTGATCCTATACCAAGAGGGTGTTGTGGTTAACGATCTAGGCTGGTAACCAAAAGGTTGCAGGTTCGAACCTAGGTCACGTTTTTGATTGGTGCGACCACTTTCACACACTAAGACATGATGCTAAATGAAAGAGAGCTAATCTGAGTTACCATAGGGGCTGGCAGGACGAACCCCCTGGCATCCAGCTGAGGTCCATCCGAATGTGAGAAGCTGTGCCCGTCCATAGCAGGCGGAATTGAGAGCGATGGCATCAGACTGCAGTCTCGTACATGACGGCCGAAGGCCACACTGTATAAACCCGAGTGATCCGGTCAATGTCTTCACACCATGACCTGAGCACACAAACAAAGGAGACACGGCACGTCCATAATGGTGGAAAATCAAGTGGGAGAGCATAATGAATCATTTATGCTGTCAGTGTAAAAACTCTGTGAGAAATACCCTCAAGCAGGAAGAAAGACTCTAATGACACAAATAGTCATCTGGAACAACACACACAATTGTTATTAATAGGTGAAATACACCTTCAAATAATCCATTCCTGCTCTCCAAACACTGTGAATAGATCTATTATCATCAACTAAATGAGCATAAAGGTTCACACGAAAACCTTAGTGAAAGCTTTCATTGATGAAGGCTTTCATTGACTATGCGACCTGAGACTTGCTCTTACGTACAAAAGGATAATATTTGAATAGAATTCATTGTAAAGATACAAAATTGAGACATGGAGCAGTTCAAATTAAGAGAACAAACATCTTGGTATCACATGAAGGCACAACAACTGAAATGCAAAGGAAATTCTCAGAAGCCTGAAGCACAAAACAACTTGTGTTTCTCGTTAGGAAGTAGATCATATGCCAGTGAACAGTTATTTGCATGTCATGGCTGATAACCGAGATAAATTAATAATATAAAAATTCTATACTATTTTGTCTAAATAACTTAAACACTAAAAAAACTACAAGTGAATTTAGGCATCACAACATATACAGGCAAGAAAAAGGATATTAATTTTGAGTATCATTACCATTAATATTTAAAAATGTTATACAATTATTACTGTTTTTAAAGATACTGTTTTTCTCTACAATAACATGCACTGATAAATCATGCACAATAAGACCAGGGACATCTATTAAGAAAGTAAACAAGATTATTTTGATTTCATGTTGTCTATAAAAACACTCCACAAACTCAGACGTTGCATCCATAATTTCTCCCCCGTCAAATGCCTGGGCAGTCAATGCATCCCAGTAAGAGGAGGTGTCCATCTATCTAACCCTCTGCCACAAAGGACAATCAATACTGATTACTATTGAGTTGATGTCCTCTTCCAGTAAAACACCATTATCTTTACTGGAAGACAAGGGGAAAAAAAGATGAGAAAGCACCAAGAAAAGATATTTTTATAGGAACGAAACGTTCACTGGTTTTATTTGATATAACATTCCAGAAAAGAAACACATAAAAGGTTTTTTGAAGGAAACAAACTGGGAAGTTGTATTGAAAGAGAAGGAAGCCTAAACTCAATTGAAACCTGACATTATGTATCTTGTTGATGCATGCTCACTGTTTTAAAAAAACGATAATTTGTTTCAAATGTATAAAATAAAGCGTTAAGAATAGCGTTAAAAACGAGAAGTTAGTATTAAAAGTAAATTAGTGAAAAAGTAATCTTAAAGAACCATTTTAAAAATAGGATCGGTTTAACCCCTTAAGTTTACTTCAATATTTTTCTACTAAATCCTAATCTAATCATGGCAAACTATATATCGTTGGAAAGGTCTAAGACTCCAGAGAATACATATTTGTTGATGATTTTGCAGAAAAATATATGTTGGAAGAGTAATGGATTAATATATGACAAGAGTGTGCATCAAAAAAATCTGTATCATTACAGGAGTTTTCACCTTTGTAACAAAAAGTCAACAACCACACTTTCATTCAAACTTTGATTTGCATGCTAAAAGTTCACAATAAAACATATATAATCTAGTATTTGTCTATAAAAAATTATAAAATAATATTATCCTCTAAAAAGTATATTATATTATCCTCTAAAATATAATATTATCTTTTTTTTATCACCTTTTTTTATTACATCACATATTTTAGTAGTTATCATGAATTAGGTATCATTTGAAAGCTTCCGAACTCAGAATTCATCCTGTGAAAACCGTTTTGAAATTGGATGCTGCGTTACCATAGAAACGGTACTCTAAATTATTTTATCAGGCTCCGCCCCTTTTGGGCATCATCATGTTTCATAATTTATGATCAAAACCTTTTCTAATCTTGACAAAACACATATTGTCAGAAAGGTCTGAGTCTCAAGGTTCCATATTGTGGTTCCAAGGTTCCATTTTGTGACAGAAGTGGTATTTGGACAGAAATTTATTAATATGTTATGGCAGAATGCACACAATTAAATTCAATGGAATGTAAGTAACCCGGTGGCTATTTCTGGTATTACGCCTAAACAAAATCTCATGGGAACTTCAATGTTTGTGATATCAACTTCAAATTTGGAACACAACTTGGTTAGATATATGGCTTTGACTTTGTCATTTTTAGGCTGAAACCTATATTAATTTATATATTTTTTAATAGAAGAAAAAGAAATATTTTATTCTATTTTCATAACAATAAACTTAAACTTCAATAACTTTTATATGATTTAATTCTATTAATTTATTCCACTTCAGCAATAATCTGCCAAGTGTCTTCTTTTAAAAGAGACCAACCGTAAGTCTTTAGTCCAAAGGGTTCATGAATTACAATCGTTTAAGTTTGGGTAGTGCATTTTCATGTCAATGCTCAACAAGGGGGGTGACAGTTAGAAAAATATATTATTGGATAAGAATTGCTGCGTTGCGACTGACATGTGGCATTCTAAACGCTTTGTATTTAAATAAAAGGACTCAGGAGGAAACACTAAAAAAAGGATGAAAATCAGCACTGGCGGTGACAACGAGGGGGAATTCCTTCAAACAAGAAAGAAATTCCTTTTTGGCTTTCAAAACCAACCGAGCTAAGAGAACTAAGGTTTCAGATCTGGACAAAAAGTGCCCGTCTGATAATCACATCGGAGGCTTGCAGATGGTGTGAATTGCGAAAGCTAAGGAGATTATTCCGTGACCTCAGCGCATGAGACTGTTGCCACAGCAGGGTGCCTGCGGCGCGAAACCTGATGGATGCCTCACGCGGGTCCACTAATCTTCTCTGATCTCTCGCAATGGGATCTCTTGTCTTTCAGGGAATGGGAAGAAAAGGAAACATGCCTAATGTAAGGGGAAAAAAGTCCTCAGGCTTGCGGCATGCCATGGATCACCATCAGGGGTTTCCCATGTTTCCCTCAAGAGTTAGTTAAGGCCACCGCTCACATTCTGATGTGTCACGGTGAGCGGGAGCACGTGGAAGTTATCCAGGAACGTGTGACTCCGGTAATCCGCTCTGTCGCTCATCCTTATGAGCTTTCACACTTTTATCAGGGTTCCCGATGTTCTTGGATCAATGAACCTCTTATGTTCTGATGAGTGAATTTATCTAGAAGGGAGGAACTCATTCTGTAACAGTTTATGTATATTAAGTAAGGAGAGATTGTGATTTTACACTGATTTTAGAGGAGGTCAGCAAACATGGCACAGTTGAGTTTTCATCTTCTGTTTGCTTTATGTGGTCCGTTGCCAAAGCCGAGTTGTAGCGCTGTGTCCTCGTTTACCCTCTCTGTCTATCCCAGTCCTTCATCTCTGGGTAAAGGTCTTGTCAGGCGACTACGCTAAGAAGAGCCAACCGAGTGTGTTATCTGGCCACAGAGACTGACTTCAACGGGTCTCGAATGACAGGCTGGGAAAGCCGAGCTTGCGAGGGCAGACGATCCCGGGAGATAGAGGAAAATCATGCTGACACTTGTTTGGAAACAGTCGAAGCTAATGCAATTAGAGAAACAAATTAAGCATGCTAAGTGCGTCCAAACGTGTTTGGAATGGCAAAGCCAGACACATTGATTAAGAGATTAAATATTCAAGAGGGGAAAAAGTTACTCTACTAGTGCCCTCACACGCAAAACATCACTGACATACACTACCGTTAAAAGTTTAGGGTCAACTTTTAAATTAATGTTGTTATTCAGGAAGGATGCATTCATTTGATCAAAAGTCACAGTGGCTATACGTTACAGATTAGATCTAAACAGCTGGAGGCAAATGGCAACCATGGCAGACATAATACTCAAAATGACTCATTCAAAAGAAAACTACAGTACTTAGGGTGTATTTCGATAAGTCTACCAAGCCTATATCTTTGTATAATCACGATTACAGGCAATATTGTCTAGCTGGGTGGGACATTTAGTATTATCAAGCATCAGCAGGATGAATTTAATGAAGTCATTGTGAGTCATACCGGGCTTTCATTTCATTGAAGGAGAGAGCCATCTCAGAGGTTTACCGATGTCATTCAGAACCTACGATCAATGAAGGCTATTCAAAGCTAAACCACGTTAAAAGGGATATGCGTAGCTGGCGGCTTTAGAAGGTCTTTTTCCAAAAGACTCAATGATTCATTTTCTTCAGCATATAGGCAAGATTAAGCTAAATAGGCCTAATATATGATTGAAAATAAGAGGAAGTGTGGGGTTGAAAATGAGAGCAAATTGGAGCCATGGTTTAGTAGTAAATCTTCCAATATTAGTGAAGCTAAAACTAAAAAAGGTCCCTCTAATGTTTAGTTTAGAAGTTCTCAGGCTGTTAAATGTTTTTGGAATGTTTAAATGTTTATGGCATCATGCGCCATTAAAAATGGTCATGGAAACCCGAGCCACAAACTGTTTTTATGATTTGAATTAATATAAACATGAAAACAATCAAGATTCCTTGGGGAAGGTTTAAAGGATATCTGCATTAAAAAAAGATTTTTATATAAGAAATTTACAATAAAACTGGACACATTTGCTTAACCAAGAAAATAACTTTCATAAAACATAAAAAAAAAAAACATAACTTGTTCCTGGGGAACAATTGGAGAACACTTCCATAACCAAAAAAATAAACTAACATTCTTAAAACATTAAAAGATGGCTGCAGAATAGAGCGTTGAGGCACAATTTAAAAGAGTTTCTAACTTGTTGAAGAAAAATGAACCAGCCATCAAAACTAAGTGTAGTTTACAATATTAAATATTAGTTATATTTATTAGTGACAAAAACGACCAGTCATGAAAACCAAGACAAGGTAATACATATTCAGAAGCTGATCAACAACAAAGGATCTTAGCACCTCTCATGGATCTAACAAATGCCATGTTCATCTGAATATGCATTTGGATATGC